ACAGTGGTGGCCTCCCGCGGGCCAGGCTGGCCCAGGAGCGAGGATAGTCTCTTCCTCATGGCCATGTTACCAGATTCATACAGGTGGTATGACTTTTGGCTTCAATCAGATTGTAGGGAAAGTTGAGCCTTCTAAAGAACCTGTTGAGCTGGATGTCTCAATGATGCTTTAGCATGTCTGAACCTTCACATGGGGTGACTGAAACACCTGAAAGCTGGCCAGTTATTCCGTTCTCAACATGACACCCACAGACAGCTTGACTTCCCCAATCATGGAGGTCTCACGGTTGTTGGTTTTGATGAAAATTAACTGGCCTCCACCAAAGAGAGCCTTCCAAGGGGCTGAACAGAAGGTGCAACGCCTTAAGGACCCAGCTCTGGAATGTGATGTCACCGTGATCACATTCTATTTTTTACCATGAGCCACAAACAACCAAGCAGATGGGGATTACACAAGGGCATCGTTATTTTGTCTTGTTTCTAGCATCTTTGGAGACTGGAGATTCCACCGTTCAGTACCAGTGACTGATACATTCCCTACACACTAACATGCAAAATTCCCTCTACAGAACTCCCAAATGTAATCCAGTTATTGTTAACAGGTTTAAAAATTTGCTGTCCAGGTTCTCATCATCTAAGTCAGGCAGTGCTTATGAAGGGAACTGAGTGCAAATTCTTACACACAGTTCCTTTCAACGTGTGCACTACAAGGACAATTTACCTGCCCTGAACACACCAAGAATGTAAACCTGAAACAGACCCTGAACAAGATGTAATTAACATGCCTATTTCAACTGCAAGCAACAGAACATGTGCAGCAGTCATTGGTCCATAATGTATCTGAAAACCAGGCAGACCCATGTGCCCTTCTCCCTGGGAGTGTTTCTTTGCAGCATTTGGTTCCACCTTCTGATCCTTAGCTTCTTTGAGTTCCTGCAGAGATGCAAGAATGAGAGCCCCTAGAGAGAATATGATCACTGGCTCTGTAGCAGGTCTGGAGAATCACCTAGGAGAAATGAGATATTACATAAATATGGGTCGAAGTGGTTGAAGAAAATCCTGAAAAATATCCTCTTTGTCCACAAACCTTTTCCCAGGCCTGATGTTGATCATTCTTATCCTTTGTCTCCATGCCTATTGCTGCAGCTTGTACCACCTTACTAATGCATAGGTCCTTTTCCATCCTCTAGTCTGACTTCCAAATACTCCAAGGCACCACCACAAACACAATGATTCATTTCAGACCTTTCTTCAGGGTTTCATTCCAATATTGAATTAAGCTGGGGATTTAGCTCAGTTGTTCCAGCACCCACCTTGTGAGCACAGGGACCCGAGTTTGATCCCAGGTACAAAAAAAAAAAAAAAAATGTTAGGCAGTTGAAACCAATATAAAATTAAATCTCCTCCATTCTAATTCTAAATTCTTGTGTTCTCTTTAGGTACAAGGTCCTCTTTACATTTTCTCCATCTCTTTCTTGGTCACGTCTGCATTTTAATATTAGGTCAAAGAATCTCATCACTATCCTGTAATGTGCTTTGGGGGAATTGAACAGTTTTTGCTGTAGGTGGATAAAAACTGTCCTAGAAGCCTGGAGTGGTGGCGCACGCCTGTAATCCCAGCACTTGGGAAGCTGAGGCAGGAGGGTCATTGTGAGTTCGAGACCAGCCTGGGCTGTAAAGTCAGCCTCAACTGCATAGTGAGACCCTGTCTCAAAAAACCAAAAAAAAAAAAAAAAGAACTGCTGGAGTCCGTGGCTTGCTAAGGAGAGCAAACATTAGATTGTGTATGCACTTGGCCTTTTGCCTTATCTTAACGTCAACGCAATCCTACAGTTAAACCCCGCTAAACAAACACGCAATAACTGCTTTTAGCACTTTTTCATCTCCCCAAAAGATTAGTTCCTGCTCTGTCACAGTCCTGGGTTTGAGAGTCAGATCCGCAGAAACCGAGGGTCCCGCAGAGCACTGTCCGTTGTGCTGATGAATCGCGGGGCGTGGCTGTACCTCCCATGCCTGAACAAGAAAGGCAAAATACGAGTTTTTTAGATGAGTGAAAGCTCAAAATCTCTATGATGTGCAGAATTCACTTTGAACTCCCTGAATCAAAGCTTCTGAATTGTTTCAGATTTTCCCCACGCAAGTTCTTTTACAGTAGAGTTTAAGATTGGAGAAATCCTGAATTTTCATCAGCATTACACATATGAATCATTCAACACTTACTAAAATATTTTCCCAGTTCTCTCTCCCAGAGGAACAAGTTGTTTTGAGGGTTGCTCTTTATTTTCTTCTTCACAAAGTTACAGTGGTAAAAATAAACCTACACTCAACACAATGGTCTTTAAAAGTGTATATTAGCGTGGGTGGGAATTTCCTCACCCTACTCTCATAAAATAAACACTATGTAGTATCTTCCTCAGTGCCTTATCATCTGTTTTCCTGGAAAAACAGAAAGCCTTGTTACCCGTGTGTGCCTGATAATCTGACAATGCCAAAGAACTAACAATGTCAAGGAGTGAACTGAATCAGAAGCCCTCAGGAGTAGGTGCACAAATGATCCAAGTCCTTCATCCCTCTACTGAGAGAATTCTGAGGTTCATATTGTATATTGTCTCCCAGAGTTTTCATGTGGAATAAATATCAATTCCTCACTGAAGCATCTGGCTTGATAGAGCACCTTTACTAGCTGCATCCCCTCCCTGTAACATTTCCCCCTGTCTCTTTTTGATGCCAAATTTCTTTCCCCAATAAATTACCTGTACTTGCTCCCAAGTCTTCCTGGAAAGCCCCACTGAAAGAAGCACATAATGCTTTTTAATGCTTTCCACTATTTGCTGCAACGGAAGCCTAAGAAATAGCTTTTCTGAGATTTGATTATGGGTGAGATGGTTCACATCTGTAAAAGGTCCATCCATAAATTCCCTAAAGGCTCCAAACTATATGAATAGAGCCCAGATGATCTCTATAACTCTTCTCTGAACTATGTACATGGATATTATACCTTTGTCTATTTGTATTATTGCTATGGTTCAGATGAATGTTCTTCAAAAATCTGCGTTAAAGTGTTAATGGGAGGAGCTACAGATCTTTAGAAGAGAGGCATACCCTTAAATGGTATTTGGGATCCCAATCTCATTTTCTCTTTGTTTGCTTCCTGGACCATGGTGGAAGTGGTCTTTTCCACCAGACTCTCCCTGTGTGATGGGCTGTGTGAGCCTCTACAAAGGCTCACAGCAATGGGGCTGCCCAATTTTGGACTGAAACCTCCAGAATCCTGCACTAAGCAAATCTTTTTTCCTTTTTAAGTTAATTGCCTCAGGTACTTCCTTGTAGTAATGCAAAGCTGACTAATACAATTGTATATCATTATTTTATAGAAAGAAGACATTTAAATCAAATTGGGTCCATAGAAAACCCCTCAAAAGTGATAATGAACATCTCTGCTGCAGCTCTTCCTACAATGTGAGGAACACAGAGTCATCCACAGAGAAGTCTTCCTTCCCTCCAGCCCATCCACCAGGTCTCACCACACCCCCATGGATAATTACAGATTTTAGTTTGTTACATTTCTTTCCAAAATGTCTTCATAAATGAAAAAGCAATTCTTTCTCTTCTTATAAGGACTTCAGTCTTTTTGGATTAGGATCCCATACCTATAATCTCATTTTTAACCTTAATTATCCCCTCAAAGGCCCACATTTGGGGATAAGAGTGTGAACATAGGAACCTGGAGGCCAGAGGACATAATTTGGTCCAGAACATGGCCTTTACACTATAAGGTATTGGGCTGGGAATTTAGCTCAGCAGCACAGCATCTGCCTGGCAAGCACAAAGCCCTGGATTCCCAGTACCAAAAAAAATTGTAAAGAATAATGTATAGTGCCTGATACCTAATGAGTGCTCAAAAAATGGAGAACAATGGCAATGACTAGTAAAGCAGCTCCTGGGGGAGGAAATCTACCCCAGGAAGCAGATAGACAGCTACTGTGACCCTTCATCTGCCAAGTGTTTGTGGCTGAAATATCTCACCACTGGATCAGGCCATGTGGAAACTACATTCTGACATCCAGCAAGATCTTGTAGTGGGCACTTGGAGAAGGCCAACCTCACCAGCTGAGCGAACCTCTTGATGGTGAAGACAAATTTCCCACTCCTGCTTTGCATCATAGGCTCTGCATTCTTTTCTATCAACACATCTGTATCCTTTCTTAGAAAGCCTTCACCTTCTCTTTTAAAATGTTGATTGGATGACCTCAGATTTAAATTCTCTCTTTCTCCCCTGCCCTCCAAATTTTAAGCAATGTGGAGCTCCCTATCACTGCCTAATTGTTTAGTCTGCTTCATGATTGAGGCTCTTCTCAAATGATCCCAAAACTCATTGCATTGCTCCACCAATGAAATCAAAGGTGGAATTTCCTTAGGTGATATTTTTCACATTCATTTCAATGAGTAGAAAGTATCCGGAGAGCCAGTATTTCAGGTGCATTTGTAATATGATGGGACCCATAAAAAGAATAGTGATGAATATGTAACTATCAAAAATTGAACTATTTATAACCACAATGAGTAGCATGAGTACATCTCATAAAATAATGCTATGTAAAAAAAAACAGACAAAATATATAAAGTTCAAAAGATAAGCAAAACCAAACTGCATCCTTAGGTGGTAGAACAAAAAGAAATTATTATCATAAATATAAGATAGTAGTCACCTCTAGACGGAAGGGACAAGCTACTAATAAGGGAGGGAGGATTCTGGAATGTTGGAAATATTCAGTTTCTTAGCCTGAGTGGTAGCTAAATGGATATCTGCTTTGTGATAAATCACTCAGCTCTATCTAATGTGTTATTTACTTTTCTGCGCATGTGTTGCATTACACAAAAAAGACTTTGAAAAACATTAATGTCTGACAATAAGCAAAGAAATTTTAAAATTATAAGAAGATAGTGTTATTATAACGCTTTAATAATTGATACGATTAAAGATAGACGGATGAACGGGGGGGGGATAAAGATCCCTTAAAAAGGCCAAGAATCTAGAATATTCTGGTATATAATAGATGTGGCATTATAACCACTGAGGACAGAGAACTTATAAGCATCCGAGGATGGTTATCTTGAGAACACCTACAGGAAATAGTTTTGTAAAAATTTCCTTATATGCATTAAACTGCAAGAAATGTAAATCTCGGCCCCGCCCTTCGACGGCATCTGTTTCAGCTGCGGTGGCACTTCTGGCCACTAGGCGGCATCTGGAGGCGCGAAGGCGCCCGGCTCCGACGCATGCGCAGTTTTCTCCGTGGCCGCGACGCTTGCGCACCGGCTGTGCACTAGGCGGTCACAGGTGCGCATTGCGCTCACGTACTTGCAGTTGTGTACACACCCTCATTGCGCTGTCCCGTTGTTTCAGTGTTCCTGGTAGCGGCCGAACAGCTCTGCGGTCCGAGATGTCCCAGCTGCCCATAGACATCACTGTCTTGCAGACGGTCGCCACGGGTGGCGAAGACGGCTTCCCTCAGGCGGAGGTAGGCGGCGGGAGGCGGGGCCCGGCGCAGATGCGGCCCGAGGAGGTCCG